TTGGTTACTGGTCCTTGAAAAAAAGCAAGCGATGTTTTATGGATGTTGGAAATGGACTATATTAGCAGTGAAATTGGGCAGAATAAAGATTTTTAGGGTTACAGCTTGAGTTGGAGTAAATAGACAGAGGTCCTTTGATTGCAGTGGAACTGTACTAATATTTATCAGCTGAGGATCAGGGCCACAGGTACTCTGGGTCTGATTTTTTTCCGCCCCCTCCCCCCGATGCATCTTAAATATGTGTGCGTGAAAATTGAATGCACAATTGCCATGACTAGATGCATAGATTGAAAACCACTCCTGCCATCGCAGCAGTTGTAGGGCAACATGTATCTTGTCTCTTTTATCCTTCTAACCTATCTGAAATCCCACCTTTGCAAATGCCCAGAATGATACAGGCAGTAATTAACAAACCGAATGAGAAAAACATCTCCATGGAAGAAATGGTCACTGTATTCATATTATCACCAGCTGTCCTATTTCCCTTATGCTTTAATTTGATTGATTTAAAAAAAGTTGCTATCTTTTTTTATGAAATATTAGACAAAAATATTCTTGCATGTACCTTAAAATACGTATGCAAATGTTTTAAAGGTCAGCTATGCTGAATTGAAGTGAAACCTACACATTCCTAGAAAAAAGTATTATTCAGATTAATAATCTAAAAGATCTGTTTGTTTAGTTAGAAATGCAATAACAGAAGACTAGAGATCTTTTAAATGCCAAAGGACACGATTTTGACAATTGATCCTTTTTTTTTTTTTAAATTCAGAGTTCCAAATTTTACCTCAGCTATTTTGGTTTCTTATACAGAAACTATATTTTAAAACCTGTCGTTCAACCTGCATGTTTTCCCTGTGATGGTGAGGAAATGAATAGTAATGAGAGTGAATAATAATGAATACATTATTCAGTATCTATAAATACCTTAGTAATTGATTTTTATCTTAATTTGCTGTATTTCAGTTTGTCAATGTATGTTTGAAAAGCATTTTTTAAAATAAAGTTGAAGACAAGCTTTATTAAACCATGGCCAATCATTCAAGGACAACTTACTTATTATCGTTTAACACTAATGAACTCATTGCCTTTGAAGTTTGTTAAATATGCATGCCTGTCATTCTTTCTCTCTCATGTTCTGCATTTGCAGTTGGGGTAAAGATCTGTATCAGCGGCTGAAAATCTGAGCCTTGTTACACATTAATTTTAGGTGGCTCCTGGACCCCTGGATTGTCTGTATATTAATACCTGAAACTAGTTTTAAGCATATTTTAGGCGGCTTAAAGTAACGCCACTCCAAGGCAGGTCGATCTCTGATCCGTGTTACCCAGCTCATGTTCCATTATTGTGGGGCTGCTCCCCACAGATAAGCCCCAACAAGTTGCAGGCCTTCAGTATCCCAAAGTGCTGTGTCCCTTTCCCCACCCTTCAGTTCTGTGTGCACAGACAGTTCTGTGTGCACAGCTCCTGAACTGTGCTCCTGCTGAACCCTGAGTTCTGGCAACAAGGCAACTCACCCTCCTGCCCCCAGGGGTGTGACCTTCCCACCCCCAGGGTTGCAGCCCTGTGCAAACAGCCTGCAGAGCATGTGCTGCCTAGCCAAGTCACAGGCATGGGCAGGTCCAGGAGTGGGGTCTTGTGGGGGAGGGAGAGGACACAGTAGGGAGCCTGCAATAGGGGGAGCCTGTCCTGGCTTACCAGACCTACAGTGACAAATCACAGCTGTAGCTCTTCATTAGGCCCCTCCTTGCCAGCCCTCTAGTGGCAAGGCACAGCTGGGCTGGTGGGGGACAATCAGAGAAGGGTTTTCACCTTAAGGTGTGACTGCTCTAAACTTAAGCTAGCACTAATGCCAGTCAACATTTGAGCAACTCAAAGTGCAATGTGTAAAAAGGCCAGCTAAGGTCTTCCTCCTACGGCAGTGATTTTTATTGATATCCTGTTTGGGCATTAATATTTTGCGATAGTTATATTTGGATCACGATCCTGGCATGCAGCGCCATCACAGTGGGAACTTTCCAGACCAGCTTTCTGCACAGAGGGAAAATGCTCATTCATGAGAAACCAAGTTCAAATAGGTATCTTGGTGTCGTGGCAGGTCAGTCAGGTTTCAACTGGCTCTAATTGGCATTCTCATAGACTCTGATGTTCTTTAACCTACAGCTGAATGCCTTTCAAATATGTATGGATTTTTTTTTTGGCCTTTGAGAACATTGCACAAACTTAAAATAATTACTTACAAATTGTTCCTTACAACTGAATGCCCTTTGATCAAAACAAGTGAGGGGAAAACACGTTAACATCAGTGGAAACATCTTTTGAAAGTAATGTGGATCATTATCCTTTCTTGAATGGGGTTGGGAGGTTTTGAACTTGTACTCTGGACAGACAGTCTACCTGCTTGTAATGGAGTACTCTGACTCTACCATTAGAAATGTGTATTTGTGAGGTTTTGCCTATGGGGCTCCAGTACAGAAAAGTACTTAAGGATATGTTGAGTTTAAAACATATGGAAATTCACATGCATGGGTAGTGTGAAGATGTTTCAGGGCTATTATAGAACAGGTTTGAAATAAATTATCTTGAAGTAACGTCTGTGTTCTGAAAGAAGAAAAGACCATCATAAAAGGAGTTGAGTTTATGTGCTTAGTTGTTTTTAAAAGGTTAGAAAATGCTTTTTTAACTTTTTCCTGAGTTTGTGTCAGGAGAAATGCCAATGAAGCTATGCTGATTTATGCAATTTGAGCATCTCCTTCAGAGTACCTGTTCATGACTTTATTTTTAGCATGTAGTTTTTAATTGGTGCACAGTTTTATTAGTTTTTAATAATTAAAAACCAATTTTAATTCTCAAAAGACAGGATTAGATTGCATTTTCCGATGGTGGCCTTCTCTGAAATCCCAGCATTATGAATATGGATGCAGAGAAAAATCTGTGTTTTAACTTGTCATATAAAGCTGTAGTAGATAGATCCCTACGATGCTGCATTACCAGCTCAGGGGAAAGCCACTTTCTGACACATGAAGGAAAATGCAAACTATTCAATTTGCATGCACTTTATGTACAAAGAGTCCAAGGAGAGGTGGTAGCAAAGTAATAGCAATAGAAATGACTTATGGGTTGGTATGTTATTAAAATTGAATGGGAAAGTTCTGTACACCATGGGGACTTTAAATGCAAAACCATTCTAACTTATAAGCAGATACTAAGTATATCAAATTCTACCCTAAGGTACAACCAGATTACTCCAACACTGAGAGCTGAGATTTCCTGATTTATTGACTATCAGGATTTAGTGACCTAAGAGGTAAATATTGACACCCGTGATTCCTACTACTCAGTTTTCCCCAAGGGACACTATCCCTTGTTGTTCACTGAAATTTAAAGTCAATATGTGCACATGTCAAAGCACTGGGTTTAACTCCTGAACCATTACAGTGATCTATGATACTGTTACATATAGAGCATGAAGAAATCTTAATGACTATAAGCATGTGTTGTAGACAATGCAAATATTGAAATATTTATGCTAGGTCTGGGTTGGGAGGGAAGGGGGGAATCAAAATAGCATTTTTTTTCACCATGAAATGGAATATTTGGCAAAAATGTTGGTTCTGGAAAGTAGTTCCCATATTAAATCTATAGCGCTGAGAAAAAAATCATCAGATTTGTCTTACTGCAATTTGAAATGGAAAGTGAGGGCCCAAATGTAGACAGTTAAGGAAGAGTAGGTTTACAGACTTTTTCTAAATGAGATTCTGCTCCTGGGGAACTGATTGGCCAAACTTAATTGTAAAAGAAGAATTGGGTCAAGAACATCATTTAAAAACAACGAAGTTGTAGCAGTGACATTATATTCCTTCAGTATTAGCCATTTGTGCAGAAGTGATTACATGCATATAGGATAAAACTCAAATTATTTTTTCTCCTGAGCTTGCAATTATGAACAACAATTTGCCATCACTGTTTACACAGTATATATAAACTGAAATCAGTGTGTTTATTTTTCATTTCTATAAAGATAACTCTTATCCCTTCTTAAAGAATAAAGAGCCATAATATTTTTTTAAAATGACAAAGTTACCATTGTATTGGCAACTGTCAGTACTGCTGCAGCTAGGTCATATTTGGCATTCATGCTGGAAATGGGAAAATTATTTTTTTAACAGCCAGCACTAGGTTTTTATGTTAATAGTTAAAAAGAGCCCTGTCTTCCTAGCCCATTTTTCCTGTCCATATATTAATTTCATAGCTTCTGAATTAGTCTGGACACCATCGCAAAATACTCACTAGTGCACTTACATTTCTTATGTGGTATCCAGAAACCCGCTAAAATACATTGTCATTTTAAGGACATTAACCTTTCAAAAGCACTATGGTTTATTCATATGATGCTTCGCTGCTTTTCCAAGTTGGTTAATAAATCATTGACAAATCCCCTGCCCCCAAAATGTCTGTGTTTAATATGCAGATGTCAGGCACTCCTCATTCATTACTCTTACTAAAATCAGTGGGAATTTGCCCAAGTAAGGTCTGAAAGATTTTGTCCTCCTCTCCCTCTATAAGGCATACAAGTTGCAAAAGGTCCTGTGTCTCCATTATACTATGTCCTCAGGAGACCGGGTGAGAAGAGGCATGGGAGTGGGTGGGTTACTGAAAGAGAACAGCTCATGTGTCCACTTCGCCCCATTTCTCATCCTTATGCCTTATACTTTTGAGACAAATCTTATTTTTCTCGGTAATACAAGGCTGCTTTGTACCTGAACCTTATGTACAGCTCTGAAGTGGTGAGAGGAAAAGATACTTTTCTACATCCTCAAACTGTTACCTCAGAGGCCAGAAAGGCGGTCTTCTCTCCTGGACCACATTGGATATTGCATTGGATGTGCTTCACCTGTCTATTAGGGTTTTGACTGCTTTTGCCGCTCCTTGATGGACAGTGCCACACAGCAGTATTCCCAATGCAAGGCTGCTTCCATAAGGAACAGCATTGCCCATAGCAGCAATAATACGTTGCCCTTCATTGTTAGCTTTCTGTGGCTGGTCTCCCAGCTGTTTTCAGAGATGAGTAAGAAATATGAAATACAGTCACATTACTCACAGTTGAACAAACAACCCAAATGAAGCAATGACACAGATTTCTTTTTCATAAGGTGCCTTAGATTTGCTCAGCGGGCTCCAAATTTCCACCTTCCACAACAAAACAACCTTCAAACCTTGAAATGAATGTGTAGGAAATCAAGTCTATATATCACAGTTTGTGAACTAGAATGTGTCTGCTCTTCTCTGCAGTACAATGCAATAGCTTTTGAAGGAAACTCAAGGAGGCAGACACAGGCAACTACTATGCCACCTGTGACGTGGCTCAGGCAAACTAAGGAGTGGTCAGTACAGAAAATTACTTAAGAATATGTAGTGACAACAGTGCCATTCTTCAGGTCCTCTATGTCAGTGGTCTCCAAAGTGGGGTACGCGCAAGACGATCCATTGGGGTACGGGAAGGAAATATTAGAACTTCTATTTATATGTATATTTATATAAATATACATATATCGGGGGTGCGTGCGCAAAAATTTTTTACTGATAGGGGTGTGCGATCAAAAAAGTTTGGAGACCACTGCTCTATGTGACCAGAAGTAGCCAGGGTCACCGTATTTAGATTGCTTTAACTGACAGCAGCAGTAGTGGAGGCTCACAGATGGGTAGCTTTAAGCCATTGTGGCATTTCCCATGTTTTCAAACTTTCTCCCCCATCTTTTTCTGTTTTTGTACCAAGCATGGCTCAGCTGGAATTCAGAATCACATTCAGCGAAGGAGCAGCTGACATGAATAAAACCTCATTTCCCCACTAGGAAACAGATCTAATCCTTCTAACCTTTTGGAAGTCGTGAGGCTACTCGACTTAAAAAAATTATTACAAAGCAGGGAGCAAAAGAAGCAGTGGTAGAATGCATTTAAACACACACCCATTCATGAAGGCAAAGAAGAGGCTAGGGGAAAGGTTTTTAATTTGTATTTCCTGTTTTGATTTAACCCATGAATGGGTCCATTTTACCACTTAGAAGTGCTTACCTGGCCACAACATACCTCACGCAAATGAGAAATCCAAATCTAAACTGTGTAGGTCTCTATGTATGTATTTTTAATTTCAGCATCCAGGGTTCAAACAACCAAAGGGCAGGGCAAGGTTTTGGCACAATGTAGGAAACAGCAGCTCCTACCAGTACCGCTGTTTCAGTAATGCTGCCCTTTCTGCTATGATACTAAGTGCAATCATTTGGATTTCTTTGCAGCTGCAAATTTATTGCAATTCAGAGTTGGCCACATGGCTACTTCTACACCCAGTAAACACTTAGAGTAATAACAACCCTCCTCGCCCCATTTACGAACCATGAGCGCATAGCACAGATTCTCACAAATCGTCTCCTTTAGCTGTCTGTGCAACAGACACTGTACTTGACTTCTAAACTCAAGCAGCCTATTTATTTAGATAGGGCATCATTTCCTTAGTGGGGGAAAATAGCCTGCTTGTGCCTGCTGGGTAACCATCACCAAGAGGCCCTGGGGGACTGACAGCGGTGCATTCCTAGGCAAACTATCACTCCACACCGAAAAGTCTCAGAAACAGATCACAGGATGACATTTCTACCTTCATGTTACAAAGGAAGTGCAGGCAAGGATGATTAATTCTTTGCTTCAGACAGGTATTCTCTTTCTAATATTGCCAGGAACTTGGATCTTTTCCCCAATTAAACAGTTTAATAAACAGTGTCCTCTTCCATGAAGAGCTGCTAGATTCACAGAGAGGTTGAGGTGAGTTGTGGTCAGTAATGGTTAAGCTAAATTCCACAATGGGGCTGATTCTCAGATGCCTGATGCCACAAGCTATTGGTAGAAGGGGGGGGGCACATGCCCCCCCATGAGATTGGCCCCCTGACTCAGCACCGCTTATGACAGAGCAGTTTTTTTGCTGCGCAGGCTGGCGGTGTGTTGTGGGCGGGAGGCACTAAGCCATGGCACAGAAATATAGGAATGGGTATGGGGCTTTTGGCTTGCCCCTGGGCCCACCCACAAATTGTTCTCCCCCAGACTTAAGAGGCACCAGTCACCCCTGCCTGATTTTCAGTAGCCTCAAAAAGTCTTTGGGCTGGATCCTTAGCAGCTATAGTTTGGTGCAGCTCTTTTAAATCAGTGCAGCACTATTAAAGAGCTGTCCTTTATGGTAAAGATTTAAGGTCTTCAGGATAAGGATTGTTCCTTACTTTCTCTATATAGTACCTAGCACAATGGGGACCCAGTCTCAGTTGGCCCCATGCACTATTTTTGTAATAAATAACATGCGACTGCTGAAAATGTCTGCAACCTTATCCTGCTGATGTCTCTAGATGTAGAAAACATTCAGAAGCAGTCTCTATTACCGCTTTAAGAAACTCCTTCCCTCTGTCATATAATTTACATTTATCCTTTACAGGGTCTTGATAACTTCAGTCCTACTCCCTTTTACCCTTCTTTCCATCGGCAAATCAATTTAGATTTTCCTTTTGCAGAAGCGAGCACGCCTATAGAGTTGTATTACCATTCCCTACCCTTTTCTGTCAGCCCTGTGTTCTCTCTAGGTATTGTCATGGATGACCCTAGTTTAAAGCTTGATTGATTGGCCTGGGTCTTAATTATAAAGGAGGGAAAGCGTTTATAAAGACTTTAACTGACATGCTTGATAGGAGACAGTCGGACTTCCCCGTGGCGAGTCACAAGGTAGATAATGATTTTAAAACAAACAAACCTACAAATTCTTAGCAAAGGATTTTCCATTTTCCATCTTTTGATATCTTAAGAGTAAGACTGCATCTGTCTGGAAGATAATTTTTGGTCCACATTCAATTTATGGGAGTCCTGCCTGACATAACTAGGTGAATTGTAATGGCAAAAGTTCAGACAAGATGATGTAACAATAATCCCTTCTGGTCTTGGCTTCTGTGAATCTATATTCAGGCATGAGGCTAAACCACCCCATTCTGGTTGCTAGCTGTGCATTGTTAGTATTTCAAAGGATCTTTTCTCTTTCATCAAATTTCAATATTGATATTTCAGTTTAACAGATTGCCCAATGGGATGTGTAGACCCGCCTTGTGTCAGTACTGACTTCTGCCAAAATGCCCGTCTTCAAAAATGTTAGGCCAGATCCTCAAATGGAAAAAAACAGGGTAGCTCTGTTGTCTTAAAACTGGTTTATGCCAGATGAAGTCAGCTGGCCCCTGACCTTGTACAGTGAGAACTCCAGCAAGCTGTATTACTGCTATATGGCCAAAAATTATCAAATGTCCACCTCATTTCACCACTAATTAAGGCCTTTTTGGGTTAATACCTTCATTGAAAACAATTGGGCTTTTAGTTTTGAAGGGCTAGTTACTGCTGGAAATGGAACTTAAGATTCATGAAGTCATGTTGATGCTTCTGAAAAAATGGCCCATAAACAGTAGAGGCTGTAACTTTGGTTTAAAAATCAAACCTTTCATTAACTATAAGGAGTGAAGTCTTAGTGTGATTAAAGGACAAACAAACCTCATTCGTAGGCTTAGAACTAGGACCATAATGTATCAGAAAATGTAAAATATGTCTTCTCAGGAATCCCCAATGCCCCCCAAAAGGCAAGCTAGACAGAGAGAGAACCAACTTCTGCTTTGAAGTGCATATGTGTGCACTGTGCACGTGTACTTGCATACAAAATTTGACTATACATATCAAAGAAGCAAACAGCTATTTTAAAAAGTAGCTTCATTTTGAAGTGCTAACGCGTGTGCATTAGAGAAAGGGGGCAGGGTTTGTCTGTGGGGAAATAAGTCTGTCTGTAACTCTGCCAGAGTGAGTCCAGATAAAGAGATTATCAAGTAGCGACAGGAAAGAAAATAGGCGAGCTGAATTTCTCTTTATCATTCCTATTCCCTGAAGACATCACATGGAGTATCTTGTATTCATACAGAGATTCCTGAAAGTAAATCACGCTGAAAGGTGACGTGTTGGAGATGGGAGGGGTAAAGGCAGCCTGGCGTGCCAAAGGGTTCAAAGCAGTGAATCTGGCTCATAGTGTGTAGAGAGGTAGTTACCCATGTTTATGAGAGGCAGGGGAGATATGCACCTTTACAAACTAACTAAATAAAATATAGATAGACTACAAGCCTTTGTGAACCCAAGTTCACCTCATCAGTTGCGTGTGCAGGCAAAACAATTGCAGTGCTATAAAGGGGTATAGGGACAATTTACCACGTAGGAGCATGTTTCAATTGATCCATTATAACTTTCATCTGCCCTCTGCTTTCCTGTTGTGGGTGAGGCCAAGCCACAATAATTTGAACCCCATTGAAACAGGCCATAAACAAGTGTGGTTTATCTTCCATTTACTGCAGGCAAGCATGGACAGACTAAACAGGTGCATCAGATTCAGCTGAACCCCTGACCCTCAACTTTCCCTTTAAGCATTATAATTGTTTCATCTCTCCAAACAGAGTTTGAAAGCTTCACAAAGAATCCAGTAGTAACTTCCGTGTTGGAGACCCTAGCAGAGAAATGAGAAACAGGAATTAGATGGAGAGAGAGATGAAGAGCTTAGAATAAAGAAAACGTGGTTGAAGAAAACAGCGAAGACATACTCCCTTAGTGTGTTTTCGTTGAACATGGTTTTCTATAGCATTTTTAATGTATTAATTTAAAGGGGAAAAACATTTCAAGGATGTACCAGATTACTGGACTCCAGTAGAAGAGACAGGAACAATATCATTTCAGGTGCTTTGTTATAGGCAGGAGATCACAGGTTTCCCAAACCATTCTTTACTATCATTTTGAAGCACTGCTAGCTTGAAAAACATTAAAAGTTATAAACTTAAAAAAAAATTGGCTTTTGCAGTGACTGGTACAAAATCTTGATTAAAAATACATATTTCCAATAGTATTAAAAAGAATGAAGGGTTTTTCTATTTGGGATAACTGAGATAACTGAGGATAGGTAAAGTCTGGTTTGTATTTCTACCAGTACTGGTAAATATCATGAATTAGATAATGTCAAATACTTTACTAAGGCTATTCTTGATGAGCAATGGAAACCACTTTTGTCAACATGTGCATAATTTTATTTTTAATTCAGTCTGTTGCATGAATAAAATTCAGTAAGACTACTTTGGACTAATTATTTTAGTATGTTTTTTCTAGATTTACGTGTTATGCTTTTGTGACGAGTCATATTTAACATCCCATAACATTCTCAGGGTACACATTTTGATGGGATCAAAAGAAAAAAAAGCCATACATTTATCTCATGATTTGAAATATGCTACCGTCATTTTGATTTTGTTTTAAACTTGTACCATAGGATCTAGAGGTCCCAATGAAAACAAGCTCTTTTCTATTGGGTATCATATAAAAACAAGAGAGATTCCCTACCACAAAGAGTCTTGCAATCAAAATAGACTAGGGAGACAAAGGATGAAAAGGGAATTGGAAACACAGAAAGTTAAATGACTTGACCAAAGGCACCAGAATCAGCTTAGTGTCTGAAGCAGAATTAGTAGCTAGGCCTCCTGGCTGCAGTCCAGATCTCTCTTTACTGGACCATGTTGCTTCTGCAGTGACACGGAAAACCTCCAAGGAAAATGGAAGGGGAAAAGAGGATGAGTTTGGAGACATGCTCATTGATCTGGAGAAACAGGTCAAGAACAGAGATGCTCCATAGGTATGCAGAATGTCTGTATGCAAATATGAAGGCTGACACATTTATCTGAGTGGGACTTCTTGTTGATTACTCAAACTATAACTTCGTCTTTTTTCTAGATGCTGTAAGAAGTGCGCAAAATGATTCACACGTATGAAGACTGACCAGGAATTGATGAAGGTGGAACTGCATTTAATGGTTAGAAAATGTATTATTTTTTTTTCCTTTTTAAGGATTAATTTTGAACATATAAAGTCTTGAAATAAATAAGTAGGTCACTCAAACTTATCCACCAAATCTATGACTCTAACATAATTAAAACAATCTCTCATGCATTCAATACCTGCATAAATTAGATAAGCATAAAGATGTGCATAAATAGCATATAATTCAAGATAACCAAAAAACATTGGTATGCCTTCCAAGTCTGACAGGTTTCTTGCTGTCAGTCTGCGTCAGACTGTTTTGACTGACTAGATCATTCAGCCCTAAGAAAATAGCTCTGATTTAAGTTTGGATTCCATTTTTTGTGACTTCTAATTAGTTAAGGTAGGTTTTAGTGGATGTATCGACACGGGATGCTTACTGCAGAGTTGCCTAATTTGCTCCGCAGTAAAGTGTCACCATCTACATGAGTGCTGCTGTTAGGCTAGAGTAAACTAATTCACTCTGCCATAGGATAGTACTGCCCAACACAAGTACTATTGGCAGTTATTTACTCCACCACGCAACACATGTCGATGGTGACCAGGGCTGGCTGGGGTGCAAAGGTGCTACAGTGTGGGACTTCCTGCCGGCTAGCCTTGCACTGGAGCACCCTCACGGCCCAGCCAGCCCCTCCATGGCCCATTGAGCCAGGCAGGAGTAGCCCTGGGCTGGCAGGCTGACCCCAGGGATCTCATGCCAGCCAGGGCTGCGCCGCCCCGGCTCAACGTGCTGCAGTCCCAAGCATGTGTGTTAACACTGCGCCTGGGACAATAAATAAACTCTGGTGGGAACTGCACCAGAATTTATTGTGTCAAATTAATTTTGCATGTAGACGTGCCCTGTGTAAAGCAAATCCTTCCGTTAATTTGGCTGGCTGAGGTCCATAACTATTGTATTCTGATTACTCCCATAGAACTGTTCAGTTCTCCCCTCTAATGTTGATAATGGTCATGTCAGCCAATGGGTGATATATATGCATTCTCTTGAATATCTGAAAATAGTGGAAATAACGTTCTGCATTTGGGATTATATTTTTTAAAAGACTTCTGCGGCATATGGAAACGAAAAGAGTAAAAAACATACCCCTAGTGATGGCACTGCCGACAACTATAGTCTAGTTAAAGAAGGTTTTAAAGTGACAGAAGTATTTATCTGTTTTAGGATTTTCTGGAATACATTGTTACTAAAGGATCTAACTGTCTAGGAACCTTAGTACAGCTAAATGTGCTAGTGAAGAAAATATTCACACTGTCAGGAAGTGGGCGTTTTATTCCATGTTTGTGCCAGATTTCTATTGCAGTAGAAGGGGGAATTGATTTTTTTGAGTATGGGGCTTAAATATGCAGCTCCCAAGCACATTAACAGGAGTTCTGTGGTTAAAAACTTTCATAGCATTCTCATTATTTACTTTCTGTTGATTTACCATTTATTGGGAGTGCCTTTTATTCAGCCTTGCAGCTTTCATTTAAATGAACGCAGAAAGATAGGAGCTCAAAAGATTCTTACTTATCTGGTTTGAAACTTACTTCACTTATTCTAGTGAATTATAAAGTGGCCAGAGGTGCTGATAAATCTATGCTTTTAAAAGGACAAAGCAACATTCAACCAAAAGAGCCAAATATTTATCATTTGATTCACTTTTGACAAACAGTTGATTTGCCTTCCCACCAGTAACTCTTGTCAAGCCATACATTAGAAGTGAAAGTTCCCAAACAACCAAACCATGAGATGCAGATGCTATCTGAATCTGGATACCCAATTCTTTATTTCAGTCCAGTTCATTATCAATATAGGACTGAGCTGTGAAAGTTAACTTCCTTTGTTTTTCTGGAAACTAGCACTCATTCATGACCAGCCACTTAGAAGGGGCAAGATCAGCCTTGTTCTAGTTATGCGTGAACAAAGAGTGAAAAATCTTGCTTTTGCCTTTATGGTGAGAAAATGTTCCTGACCTCATTTTAAAAATTCAGAATATCCTTCCTGGCCTCATTCTAAAAATTGCGTGAACGGTACTTTTCCCCTCTCAGAATGTGCCCAAATATCAAGTAGATCACAAAGTGGACTGTTCTAAATATTTCACTTTCTCAAGTCAAAGTTTTAAGCTATTAATATTAGGAATGCTGGAAAAGAACAATGTGTGACCTTAAATATAGTTCTGATACTTCAAGGTATTGAGTAATAGGAGCTATGCCTAACTTGACTGTCTATGCAAAGTTAGCCAACTTGGCCACGAATATCTGAAACCTGTGTGTATAGGGTATGTTCCACTTTCCTTCTCTCTCTTCTTTATTTTCATCTGCTGATGTTTATATTCACATTCTCGACATTGTGCTCAATAGTTTCTCACTGCACAAATTTGTCTAGTGGCCCTTTTGTCCTGTGTGAACACAGAATGAACCCTGGTTTAGTCATTCATATGGCGGTTCAAACTCAAGCTCACATACATTATAAAACGCTGCCACATCTGATAAGTGTGCTTATGCATGTTCGCTACTTTTTCCGATTTCTCTTCATTATGGCATAGTAGAATCATAATGGAGTTTTCATTGCCTTATAACTGAAAGAATATGTGATTACAAGAGGTTTCTTTTATTCAGAGTTCATGACTCTCTTCATTTTCAACTGGCAATTAATAAACGTTTGCAGTTGCCAGTTTAGAAGTTACTATTCATCTGTATTCTTTAGAATTCAAGGCATGATTCATGTACATCTATTTATAGAGTCAATGTCTTGATATGTCCTTTTCTACTGGCTGAAAAATCCAAACAGCTTGGCTAAAAAGTGTCTAGTTCTGGTTTTGGGCGCTGAAATGGCTCATTAAAATCATTAGCTGGTGTAGGAAAAATTGAACTTCAATGCCATCCATAAAGGTTACAATAACTGTAATAATAAATATATTAATAATGCATTAAGGGAAAAACTCTCCAGTCAGATCTTTACACATTTATCTATGCAGTTGACCTCAAAGAGGTGCATCACTTGGGATAAAGATCTCAGCTGACATCCTCAAGAATCTTACACACTTCAAAATATGCTTAAGGCTACACTTCTGCATTTTGGATCATGGCATCTCCTGACAGGACCCAGGAAGAGTCTTTTTGAACAAAACTATTTTCCCTGTAGCAGGAGTAGCTGCTCCCTGTACTTTCTCTAGACCAGCATAAACCTGGTCTCAGGATGGGATGGAAAGTTTTCCCCTGGCTCCACTCCTCCTGATCCCTGGAAGGATTTAGGCCATGAGAAAATGTGCAAATGTTCCTGAATCATAGGAAATAGCAGAAAATTAGGGTTGGAAGGGACCTCAGCAGGCCATCTAGTTCAGCCCCCTGCTCAAACCAGGTCCATCCCCAACTATATCATCTCTCCCAGGTCTAATTTCTTCTTGGTTGGAGTTGGATTATTTTTCTCCTGGAACAGCCTTATTTGTCTTGGAGAAAGAGCATGAACATCTCTATGGTTTTGGTTTCTACCAAGAGAATAGTGATAGAAAAGTGATAAAAACTGAATGGCCAAAGTAATTGCCCTTTCATCTTTTTTGCAGGGCCTGATATAAAATTCATTTTATAAACCTACTTGTTGGATCAGCTCTTGTACAAAACACAGTGAGGAAGAAGTGATCGTGTCTCCCTTCCTGGTACAGGACTGATTAGTCATTAGAATAGATCACTGATTCTCAACCAAGGTACTGTGGCACCCTGGGGTGACTTGAGACCCTTTCTGCAGGATGCCATACAATGTTAGCACTGTTAGGTGTGCAAACATCATTCATAAGATAAAAACAGATTTCAAATTGGAATCCACAGTGCTAAAGCATTCTGACCCGGTGTGGTCTTTTTGAGTTCTTTGCAACAGAAGAATGGCTCTGTTATTTTCCTGTAGTAAAAAATTAAGTGAAAACTAAGAGCAGGCATTTTCTGAGGGGTGCCTTGGATCTATGGAGGGGTACCTCAAGTCTCAAAAGATTGAGAACCACTGGATTTGATTGAGAGCAACTCTAGACCAATTCATTGGATTGCAGTCAGTGTTCCAAGGAATATTGAAATAGGTTTTACGAAATGTAGCAGCTTCAACAGGAGGAACTGGGAGAGCTGCAACTTAGAATATGCTGTAGCCTATCTTTGTGGCCGATGGGAGACCATCATTTTTGCTGTGAGTTGGGTAGATGAAAGATTTGAAGCTGGGTCTTCCACATCCCAAGTGCTCTAACTATAGGGCTAGTTGGATAAGGCCATCACCACTACCACCTCACTGCTTCTCCTGTTTTGCTTTGTTTTGTTTTGTGTTTTTAGCACGATCCAATCCTGTAGGCACCATTCAGCATTGAGAAGAGTTTACTGGTAGAAATTTAGGTGGTTAGGTAAATTAGGTATCTCTAGGCTAATATGACAGTAGTTCTGAAGATTTAAATTTGCCTGTTAGGCTACCTGATCTAACTAAGTTCACCCAGGTGCGGACCTTACACTTAGGCCTGGTCTCAGCGATCGGAAATCAATCTAAACCCATACCATATGCACCGACCTTTTACAAACTGGCAGAACCTGGTCTAAGATAGACCAGGATCAATGCACACTCAAACTTAATCGATCTAGGTTAGATTGGTGCATGGCACTTCTGGACAGTTTCCTGTGCAGCCCCAGCTCTGGAAAGGCCCATCCGCTCGCCCCAGACTCAGGGCTGTGCTTTTCCTACCTGTCCCCCTGGCACCAGGCTAGTCTTAGCCCCTGGGCCCTTTGCTGCTCTCCACACCCCCACCAACCTCCCATCCTGTAAACCACTCTGGGTGCCAGTTTTATAAGCATCTGCTGCTGCCAGGAACTAAGGAAGTACTGGTATTGGTGGGGGGAGAGAGGTAGGAACAATGGGGGGGGCAGTTAAAAATAGCCCCTGGTCCACCTGCAAGACACTTTGCAGACCCTGTGAGCCCTCCTATTCCTGCCAAATCCTCCCAGACCCCAGCAACCCCCTGCAGACCCTGCCTGATCCCCCAATCC